ATCAAGTGCGCATACTTTGCTAAGCCCTCCAACACTGCCGGCAAGAGTCCACCAATATTGTCCTTTTGCTTCAGAATACGGAAATACGTTATAAACACTTGCTTAAGTGTTTCGCCATACCATTTCTCGCGTTCTTCGCGCGAAACTTCTGCCTCTGCTTCTACCAGTGATTTGTCGACATCCTGCTGCACCTTGCGCAGTTTAGCCTGCTTCTTCGACATGTGCAATGCACGTTTTGCTTCATTAAGTGCTGCTCCGCCCTTTTTGCGTTTAAGTAACTTTTGCTGTTCTCTACGCTGTTCTCGTTGTCGCTGCTCCTCATCCTTACGTTTGCGATCCTCAGGATTCTCGCGTAGTTCTTCACGTAGTCGCAAATGAAGCCATGGTCGTAGTGCACTCGGATCCACGCGATATGATAGACGCTTAATCCGTTTTGCTGCTAGCAGCACTGCGTTCTGAGATAGCTCGCCTGACACATCGTCGCGGAATAGTCGCAGCACTGCAAGTCTCGCTGTCTGTGCCATTGGTGTGAATGGCGCAAAGTTGATGCGTGACGATGGCTGCACGTATATGTCCACCAATGCCGAGAGTATATCCTTGCGGAAATTAAACAGCGGACGCACGTTAATTAAATTACCAAGTGCTCGTGCTGCAACAATTCCAGTCTCAATATCAGCAGTGGGGTTACCGAACACCTTTAGTGCCTGCTTGGATGCAGTAAAAAGCTGCTTCAGATAATTGCTGTAGCTGCGTACCAGTTGCTCCTCATGCATGCGCTGCTGTCGTACATCCTTTGTTACTTTGGCCTGCTGCTCCTTCTCTGTCAGCTCGCGAATCCGGTACTCTGGAAGAATATCGCAGAACACCGCAAGCTGCGTCAAAAGTCCAAGACGCTTGACCCGTGGATCAACGTCAGAGCTAATGTGGTGCAATGTCTTCAGATATTTTAATCCATTATCAGGATCCTGCATAATTGCATCTGCCATGGCTGCAAGCCGGTTCTGCTGCGCAATAATATATTGCTTGCGTGACATCCGGCTCCGATCAGGCTCAAGAACATAATCGTCCTGATCCTCCAAGCCAGTCCCTTTTTGGGTTGAGCGTGTAGATACCTCCTGATCCTCATCACCGTCAGAATCTGTTTCCGAATTAGAATGCTGATCTCCAGCAGACTGTTCACTTTCATTACCACTCTCATCATCGGTATGCGCGCTGTCTGAAATAGCATCGTTTTCTTCGTCAGAGTTCTCCAGGAGAGCCAGCCGCCCATCTGCAGTTTTAATTGGCAGTTTGTTAGTCAACTTGGGTTTCTTTTCAATCTGCTCAAAGCGCCTCACGTCATGCTCGTAGTCCATCTCGCTGCCAAAAATCGCCTTGCGTTTCTGCGCTCTCCGTGCCTTGCTGTTCACGTAGTCATAGCCTTTGTCAGACATAGCATCCTCTTCCTCAGTCATACTTTCGGCATCATCACTGTCTGCTTCGGATTCTGTCAGTGCAAGATCCTCCAGCAAATCTGAAGCCTCGTTCTCGTTGCTGCTGTCTCCGTCCTGTTCGCTCAATACTTCCAAGTCGGAATCGCTTTCTTCTGGTACTATTCCAAAGTCGCTATCCTCGTCTTCGCTCTCCGTAAGCTCTCCGGGTTGCACAACCTTGTTGGATTCTGCTGTAATACGCCCTTTCTTTTTCTTGGGCTCCTTCTTTATATTTGTCAGGCTCTCAGGTTTTACTGCGCTCAGAAAACTTAGACTATGCGCGTTGGCATTCACAAACCCCACATCATCCTCATCTGGCTGAACCTCCTCGTCGGACTCTCCAGCTTGCCTTACAGGAACAACTGAAGTATTCTTCTCTTTTTTCGACTTCTTCGATCGCTTTCCCTGTGCCTTTCCTCCCTTTGCCTTGGTGACTTTGCCCTTTGCGCCTCTGTTCTTCGCCGTCATGGCCGCACCTTTAGCTGCCATTCCTGCAAGCTGAACTTGGTGTATAGAACTGTAAATAATATATAAACAGCAAGAGTTAATTTGCACTGGCCTCGCAAGAAAGAAGGCGAAAAAAAAAAAAGCTGCGCCAAATGTGCTAGAAAATATTTTTGCTCTGGTGCTTGATCAGATGAGGTAGATCCGCCACGCTGTGATCTTCAGACTTGAGACGACGATTGCTGCTGCTTTGCCGTCTGTCTGCGCTTCCGCCGCTCAGCCTTCGATTCATATTCGTGCCAATCGCCAGACACTGGAAAATCTGTTGGCGGCACAGGCTCTGGTGCCTCGAAAAAGAATCTATGTTCCAGACACTTTCTAGCAGATGGGCGGACGGTTGGGTCCAGCTCCAGCATCCAGCTAATCAAGTCCACTGCGCTAGTCGTCATCTTTGAGCTTAATACCGCCCGCAGACGGTTCTCGTACCGGGTATTGGGCGTCATATAGCACGCCCAGGGCAGCTTCTTAAACTTGGCCCAGATGCCCTCTGAGGGCGTCCCTACCATCTTAAATATTTGTTCAAGTTGGTCAATGTCGTCTTGGCCTTGGAACGCCGGCTTCTTCAGAAATAGCTCAAGTATCACACATCCCAGCGACCATATGTCAACCTCGGGTCCATATAACGTAGTTCCAAGCAGTAACTCGGGTGGACGATACCATAGAGTGATGACCCGGTTGGTAAGCTCTTGCATGCGCGTGTGATGAAAAGACCGTGCCAGACCAAAGTCCACAAACTTTACTTGTCCCTGACGGTTCACAAGTAAGTTAGATCCTTTAATATCGCGATGCAAGATTCCGCGCTCGTGCATAAATCCCAATCCTTCAAGTAACTGCTGCATTAGCGACTTGCGTTGCGCCAAGTCAGGGCTCCATTGTGGATGATTTATAAGTCCCGACAGATCGTAGTCCATGTACTCCATCACTACGTTAACTGCCTTGCCAGACTCGGGAACCACATCAAGCACTTGCGTAATGTTGGGATGTTGGAGCTGCTTTAGTAATCGGATCTCGCGCATTGCCGTTATTGGAAATCCATCTCGCACTGTATCTATACGCATCCGCTTCAGCGCCACCACTTGCCCTGTTTCCTTGTTGCGTGCCTTATAAACCATGCCATATGTACCCTTCCCCACCATACTGATCTGCGTGTATAGCTGGATCCCCTCAGACGGGCTGCTCTGCTTGGGCGTTGTTGGTGTCAACGGGCTGCCCGTATCCAGTGCACTGCGAATATGCTTTGTGGATCCCAACTTTGCACCTTGTATATCAGCTACAGATTGTTCCTGCTGTTGCTGATGCGATAATAAAATCGCAGGAGGAGGCGGTGGCGGATGTGGATGACGCGGCAAATGGCTTCGAGGAGACGATGATGCATGTGGTAATGGGGGCGGTGGTGGTGGAGTAATCGGCGGCGGCAATGGCGGTGGTGGTGGTGGTGCTCCAGATGGCAGAGGTGGTGGTGGTGGTGGATGAGCGTGCATGTCGCGCTCTGCTCCCTCGTACGCGGTGCCGCGTCTATTGTTCCTCAGTGACTCATCGCGTGTATCACCAAATCCACCATGTCTCGACCGATTCTCAGAAACTTCCCTTGTCTGTAGTCGTTGTCGAGACCGCGATCTGGCAAACATCGAGCTTTGTGAAGGCAATCTGCTATCAGGCCCATCATGAGGGCGCTTGTGTGCCTGCCTATACTCTGGGAAATCGCGCGAGCGGGATCGCTTTCGGTATTGTCTGCCCTGACTGCCTTCGGTATGGCTCATATACTGGATACCATGGCGGCTATATCTACCGCTCTGTCTAGACTCTCGTCCGTCGGCATAACTGGGAGATTGATGCCGCTGATGATACCTTGAATCTTGCCGCCCAGCGCCCACAGCGTGGTTGCTCCTATAACGAGGTCCTGGTTCTTCTTGCTGATACGAGCGAGCATACCCGTGTGATCTATATGGACGATCATCACGACTCTCATATGTCCGAGAATCGCTCGGTCGCCGCTGCCTCCAATCACTCTCATCTTCACCCCGATTCCGTCGGCTAAATCGATGACCATGCGCATTCCCAGTCGGAGCCCACGCACCTCCACGACTGGACCGGCTAGCGCTTCTTCCACTACCACCTCGTATCCTTAGTTCATGTCGGCTGTGCCCATCACTTTGTCTAGCAGTATCATCTGTGTGTCCAAAAGAATAGTCGTCGCCGTTTCTTACGCGTCTTTCGACAGAACCTGTACCCCTATATTCCATGTCCCTGTCTTTCGACATGAAGCGTTGCGTTACGGTGGTGTTTCAGCCCGCGTAAGCGCTTCTGATGCTCTTGCAGAGTTCGATTGCGGCTTACTAAAGAATATACAACATGCAAATTTAAACTAAAAATAAGGGTGCAAGCAGAAAATCGTACTAGTAAATCAAACTAAAAGCGAAAGAGCAAGAGATTCAAAGATGGGAAAGAACAAGATGGCTCGTGGGATGCGCAGAAAAAATAAATTCAAACTTTTTTTTTTTTTCAAAGTGTGTGTTTAAAAGGTTTGTCTTGCCCAAAAATGGCTGGACCACAGTTTGCTTACGATGGGGGGGGGGAGTTCACTTTCCACTAGATCTGCAAAAAAGTCTCTCTGATATTGGCACCTGTGCTTAACACGTACGATGGCAATGTCTCCATAGAATTGTGTTTGACCAAATAACCACATCAAGTTGTTGTATTATGCTCATCTCTGATCAGTTTCAACAGACCTCAAACGGCTTTAAATTATTGTAAGGATGTGCATGTCTTGATCTATTGTCTCAATGTGCCTCCTTCAATGGGCTGATCAGGTGTATTGGCTAACAGATCTATACATAAAAGTCTTAGCATCAAAAATACTCACAAAGGCAAACATATGATAGAGTTTGTATTAGAAGGACATTAACAAAAGAATCAACAAAGCGCTGCTCCAATTCTTTTTTAAAAGATGCAACCAAATAAGCCATTCGTTAAAAAATAGAATTGGAGTTTAAGTACAATTATTAATCTACTGCAGGTAATAAAGCCCGACTGGCGCAATTGGATAGCGCATGTGACTTCTATGGGTTTTTGTCCTGCAAGCAATCACAAGGTTGCGGGTTCGACCCCCGCGTCGGGTTAAGCGTGCTTTTGCTAATATTTTTTTTAGCTGATGCTACAATTTTAGTTATTTTTTTTTTTGAAACTGCTAGTTATGCGTTCAGCAGTTGTTAAACAAATATTATAATTTATTTTGCGTGTTATGTAGAAATTAAAATAGAATTAGTGTTTTATTGGTAAAAGTGCTATTGTTTAACCCTTACTTATCTACGGAACAATACATCTAGCAAGCACAAACTAAACATTGTGGAATAAGAACACACACTACATACTTGTATAAGTGTAAATCGATGTTTTATTTCATATGTACTTTTTTTTTTTATAAGAATAGTAACAAGAGCAAAGTTAACAGACATTTAAATGTACATGAACTTTGGACTTACGGACAGATGTAGATATGCTAGATGATGGATTTTCATTAAAACAGCAAATTTCAGAACAACTCTTCGCATAAAAAAAGCATGTTTATACCGATGGTTGTTGACATTCTAGAGAACGCCCATAAAAAACCCCCCGCCAAAGAAACAAGATACACTTAGAACTAGAGTGGTATATGAAAAATACAGCTCACAACAGATTGAAAAGCCATTTGATATAGTTATCGAAAAGGAAGACAGCAAATGAAGCATCGCTAATCACTGGAATAATCACCAGAACAGCACAGATCTATGTCAAGACATACATGGACGATGAGCAGATGTGTTTGCCCTGCGTTGAACATTGGTCTTGCAAGGGATACCCAGCCAGGTTAAACGCACAACTCTTATCATTTATATTACAACTTGTAGACCAGAACCCAACTGTAATATTAGCAGGCATCAATAAAAGTCAATGTAAAGCATATGATGTTCTCACCACATCAGTGTTGGCATTACACAAACACTTGGTTGATAAGTGCTGTCTGACATTGAAAAAGCTGGAAAATTTGTCTGCAGAGTGAAACTCGGACAGAGTTATTGTGGTAAGGAGAGTCGAGCCATGGGAATAGAATTTCCTAAACCGTGTAAGCTCCCCACCTTCTTTTTACTTGCTTTCTTTTTTTTCTTTCTACTATTTGTTTGAAAATGAGCCTAAGTGCGCGCATTGACCAGAGTCTAGATCAGATTATAAGAGAGACTCGCAAGCAAAAGCAGCCACAGAAGAAAGCCAACAAGGCAGCCACTGCTAACATGGGCAAAAGCACTGCAGCAGCTCCAAGCGCAAAGGTAGGAAGAGGCGAATTGGAACAGCAGAAATTGCTTTTGACGCGTTTTTCAAAATCGACAAATCAGCAGCAATACTTACAGTAGCATACTTTAAAAAATTTTAAACTAACTGTAGCGTCGTTCAAAAAATCGGTCTGCCACTGAAGCAAATGCGTCGAGGGTTTCAGACGCGCTTGCAGCACGACTAGGTAAAGGTGCCAGGACAGGCAAAGCGCTCGGAAAAGGACCTTTAGCAGGCAGAGTCGGTAAGACTAAAAGTGATGGCAAAGGAAGCAGTGGTCGTTTGGCAGGGCTTGCTGAAAGACGTAAAGCAGCTTCGATTTCAGCAGGGGCAGAGTCATCTAAGAAGAGAGAGAAGACAAGGATGAACATTTCAATCAAGGGAGAAGCTGGACCTGCGGCGGTATTTATTTCAAACTTGGATCCAGAGGCATCAACTGAAGACGTTAAAACTTGCTTCAAGCAGTTTGGATCAATTAGAGACTGTACATTGCTTTATGACAGCAACGGAAAGGCTTCGGGCCATGCTCAGGTGACATTTACGGTGAAGCCAGCGGCTGAAGAGGCTGTGGCTAAGCTGAACAACGCGCTGGCGGACGGTCGCAGATTGTCAGTGAATTTGATGCCTCCTGGCAAGAGCGCTATACCTGCGCAGAACATGGCACCATTTGTTGCGCCCCAATCTTATGGATCGGCGCGTAGAGGTGGTAAGAAGCCAAGAAGGAGTGGCGGTGGTAGCCGGATGGACATTGACTAGGACAATTTTTCATGTATCTTTTGAGTTTTTCATTTTTTGTGTGAGCGAAAGTTTTTTTTTTGGAACTGTACGGTAGGTGACAAAGAACACACGTACAAAAAAAAACACGCGTTCAAATATTTCCACCGCTTTTAAAGCAATCTTGCATGCCATGTCCAGTACTAAAGCTGACGGAAGCAACTTGCCCTAGTCCTTACTTGGCTGCATATGTTGATTCAAAAATTATTTAAAGCCCACATGTGTCAGAAGCGTGTTTGCGCGATTTACAATGTGGATAAGCTTTCAGGCCAATCTCACGTGATGTTGTTGAAATTTAAAATGTATTCTTGTCAGCTTGTCAGTTTTTTAGGGTTTTTGCTTTCTTCGCCTTCTCTTCCTTTTGTATTGTTAATGGCGACTAGCAATTCGGTAGATTGTCATTTCTATCTTACTGGAGCGTGTCGTAATGGCGAAAAGTGTCCTTTTAGACACAGCGAGAGTGCGTTACACACACAGGAAGGGTGTACGGAGTTTGCGCAGACAGGACAATGTTCTGCTGTGGACTGCGGCAAGCGTCATTCGGAAGCGCCAAAGCGCATGACTAAGCCGCCTAATGAAGTACCCTGTCGAAATGAGGAAGGCGAAGGAATTTGTACGAGAGCCGACTGTATATTCAAACATACCAAGACACGTGGCGAAACAACAAAGACCAGCACGCTGAATACTAGGGCTAAGGTATTTGTGCCTAGAGGACTACCAACAAGACCTCGGCAACAACAGATTGTATCAACAAATATGGAGTGGACACCAGAAGGAGCAGCTACATCAGCAGCCTCTCGGCCATTTGCAAACATGAGCTGGACACCAAATACACAGTTGGTACATCCGCAGTCACATGCATTTGGACAACAAAAGTCTCTGTTTACATCTAAGCCAT